AGAGATTTCTAAATATGTATAACATACAAAAACGTCTATTAATAATCCTTTTCAGCCTACTTTACATTTGTTCATTTAGCTTACCCTTATCTAGAAAGTTGTCTTATGATACTGATGTCAAGTAATTGCTGGTACTCAACTTAAAATGTAATGTGGATAGGATTAAAACACATTTATCACAAAGGTGAATGTTTATATATATTTTAAATACTAGGTCACAGCTTAAACCATGAAAATTTTCCCTGATCTTTTCATTAACAGGACAGAAAGTCTAAACATAAATAAACATAAGCAACAGCTGATAGGTACTTACCTTCTGCAATTATGTCTTCGACAGTAACACTAAACTTGCCAACATTAAATACTTTTCCAACAAAGCTGGTTGCTTCCTTGGGTGACTGTTCAATTTTGTTTTCTAATTTTGAGAAAAGTTTCTTCATGGTGAAACTATTAGCAAGTTGTAAACCAGCTGTAGTAGTTCAAGAGGTTGTTTTCACAAACACCTGCATTTAGGTGCACACACACACATCTAATCTGTAAACAAGAAAATGTACTTATACATTCTGACATGGAAAAAAAATTGAATGTAAAGATTATACAGCACTATTCAGTTTGTTTCTCTTTGTTTTTTCAATCACCAAACTTGGCAAGCAAATGAAAAAAAGGGACCTCAAAAGCTCAGTTTGTTTGCTACGTGTTACTGAGTTACACTAATTTCAGGGAATTCCACTATGGTATATTAGCATATCATGTGTTTTCTATTTCCTACTTTTAACATGAAAATTTTCAAAATTTCTTGTTTGTGCAGTTTCCACACAAAACATTTGTTACTGTTGCTCTTGCTATCTATTTTTCAGTGTCATTCACATAAAGTAGCATCACCTGATAGACAGTTATCTTTTTCACTGGTAACCAGGTGATCTCTTGAGGTAATGATCTCTCTTATGTTTCATTGGGGATGACCAGTCACGTGAGTAATGCTAGTCACTCTGAGTAATTCTGATATTAATGAATTAATTAAGTAGCATGAGATTTATTCAGCCCCAAACACAATCTCAACAGAGTTAGTGACATATGACAGTTTAGGGAGGCAGCAAACTGTTCCCTAATATCAAAAAAGGTTGAGAAATGCTGGCTTAGGATACTGAACAATAAAAACATCAAGATCCTTTTCTTTTGTGACACTTTTAAAGTTATTGCCATCAAAATTATGCTGACTCGCATGCATTACCTATCATTTATTATAACTAGCCTTCATCTACACACTGCCATTTATTTGCTCAACTCACCAAATAATCTAAGTCCTTTTGTAAAGCAGCAGCATCCTCATCACAGACTGGAAACATCCAAGACCTTAATGTCATCAGCAAATTTAAGCAATTTGTTGACCATTCATTCAACAATGTCACTGATGCAAATTGAAAAGAGTGATGGCCGTAACACCGAGACCTGAGGTACCCCACTTGTGACATTAATCTAACTTGGCTGAATTCCATTCATAATAACTCTATACTTTTTTCCATCTAACTATTTTTCAATCCAACATTTCAACTTATCTTCCATACCTATAGAAATAACTTTTTCAACAAGCCTATTTAATAGGACCTTTTGAAACAATTTCTGAAAATCCAGTGGTTAAGTGAAGCATGATGCTATCACACTCTTTTCAAGGAGGGCCTGAAACCATCCCACTACCTTCTAGTAGACTATAAGCTTCTCAGTAGGAAAATGTTCAACAGACGAGGCAATAAATATTCATGACAGCAAAGAACTGAGGAAAGAAACTATATAATTTTTCTTTAAAAGTTATATAAGTGCAAGGAAGGAATGAACCAAAGTAGTATAAGGATGGAGTGCATGAACCCTCCCACTATAGAGTTAGTTAGTGTGACCGAGTTCATGACCCCAAAGTAACCAACATGGTTTTCATACCATAACTTGTAACAGTATACATTTGTTTATACTTACTTTTAATGTTTTATTACTCTTTAAACCACTATGCCAAACTAATAACCCTGTAAAATTGTAAATCACTTACTGAATGTGTTGCTCATGTTACTGCAACCAATTATATAACTCATGAACTTCTAGCAAGTATATCTCAGGAAGAATTTTTATTATTGTCTTACCTAATCTAACTTTATCTCCTAAAAAGTTTCTAATTTTAACATTTTAGTTATTTTACCATAAATCAAGAATATACATGAAAAAAAAAAAATAATATATATATATATATAAATAGTACTCAGTTTCAAAAATTTCTCAAACCATCCCCCCCCAACTTCAAGCACTGACCTAATCTATGCTCTTACTCATTTATATTATAATTATCCTCTTCAAAGAATGTCAAATTAGTAAGGCAAGATTTTCTCCTTGTGAAATGATTTTGATTATTCACCAAAAGTTTAAACTTTCTTAAATGAATTTGCAAGCAACTTGCAAGATTTTCCTCTAGGGAAACTATTTTTACTGTCAAGTAAATTTTTAAACTTTCTTAAATGAATTTGCAAAGTGTATTTTATCAGATTTTTAAAAACCTTTCCCACCACTGATTACTAAAACTGGGTGATTAATGGAATGTGTTAATTGATTAATCATTAACTGAATACACCCAATTAACTGATTATTTCATGAGATTAATCGTCCTATTTGTAGCTATTTTTCTTAACAATATCTTTAAACTACTCATTTAAATATAATAGTTAACACATTCATTGCCACTGTACATACATGTGCATCCAAAGGTATGTTACCCAATGCCACCGACACATAGGTGCATCAAATAAAACATCCAGACAAATGCATTTTATTGGAGTCAGCATGTGTTACAAGTTAGTTCTGCTGTAATGGCACTCATGTGAGGATCACACTATCTTACATATTGCTTAGTTGTAACTATTTTATTATATATATATATATATTTTCTGTTTGGCTTTTATAAAATAGATAAAAATAATGCTCCTTCGAAGCCCCACAGAAACTTGATGTGATATTCCCATGGTTATAATTTACTTTTCTTGTACATTTAAGACATACTCACAAACCATGACAAAGTATAAAAAATAGATGGCGTTCATAAAATAATTTTAGCTACAGTGCCGATGATGCTCCTGTGTGTCACAGTACAGATTTTAGTTGAATAAGCATATATGTCTATAAATATTCTCTGATATTATTTTACATCATTAAATTGCCCCTAATAATAATAAAAAAGTAACCTGGAATGGGTTTTGATCTCCGAGGCACCACAGAATTTTGAAAGAAAAACTTTCTCATATAACAGACAAAAGAGTGGGCATGAAAAAACTATTAACAGCTATATGTTAAGCTATTTCTCAAAACCAGTGTTACCCAAAGTGCAAGCCACAGCCTCCCTGGGAGACATGAACCCTTTTCTGCCAAAAAAAAATGGTTTGCAAACAAAGCTGCTGAAATATTTTAATTCTAAATAATCAATAAGCTGTTAAAAATTATGTTGAACTAATTAAATGATACAGTATGGCAAAAGATGTTATTGTTTTTACTAAGGCACTTTTTTCATTTACCACACTAAAGTTATATATCGTTATACATTCCCTTCAGATCAAGGGAACTTCAGACTAAAAGAGTTTGGGAACCAATGCTCTGAATAATGAAGCTCATTACTTTACAAATGGTAAATAGAGGGTATAAGAGGACTATTAACAGCTGCACATTAAGCTTAATAATGTTATATGACACATTAAGCTTAATAATGTTATATGACACATTAAGCTTTTCTCTGAACAAAGAAGCAATGGAATCAGAAAAAGAAATGTTGCCAAACATAATGAGCTTAGTGCTACTACACTTATTAGAAGTATGTAGATTGACGCATGTTTCAAAGTACATTAAACAATTGAATAGTGTGGTATTGTGATCGACACTCTGAGAAACTCTTACTCATAAAGAGTACTGGTAGAGTTTCAAATTCTATAGTTTTTTAAAATAAAATTGTAAAATTTACATACAAATAATGGGAAGCAACAAACAATAAGTTATCCACGAAGGCTTATTAGCAAATATTAGTACAATAATACAAGAAGAACACAATTAACTTTTAACATATTCTAATATTAGTTCATTATGATCATTACAACATGGACCTTTTGCCTGATATGATGACAAGTTAGTGCCAATCAAAGTTTTGTGGACAGGTTCGTTACGATACTTATTCATGCAAATTTAACAGTGACGTTCTCTGGACATTTTTGAATGTATAAAGCTTTTTGAGCCAGGACCTTTGTTTGAGGATCATTTGAATAATTACAAACCAACTTTTTCCCCCTACTTATATATATCATGTTTTTGTTCTCTTACCTAAATGAAATGAATGATACCTGCAAATTTTAATGTTACATTATTTATTGATTTTGTTATTATCCTTGTCCTGCAATCGGGTCCTTGTCTGTCTGTGTTTTCAAGCATGTATCTCCAAAACTGACAGACTGATGTACACAAAAATTTTACACAAGATGGCGATAGGAAGGCAGTATTGGACAGTCCTTCCCACATTTGGTCTAGATCCAAATCTGGATCATTTTAAAGCATTTTTTAGAATAGGGAGATAGGGCATTTTTACAGTTTTCGGGTGAAAACTCTGTAAGGTGTGATCAGATTTGTACCACATTTCATGGGCACATTAAGTTTGATACTCCTCATCATACTACAAAAGATGATCTGGATCTGAGAAGGATTTTCTAAGTTTTTTGAAGGTAAAATTTTGTATTATCCAATATAAATGCATGCAATCCTGAAAAGAGGTGGCAGAGGAGAGTATGCAATCTCCGATTGCTACTGTTGCTTAGTGAAAATCAATTTGTACATTTACATTTGTATTGTATCACATGGTTAAAAGGCTAGCATGACTAAGTGAATAAACACACTTCTTGAGTACTTGCCCCATGATCAGAGAATTGTGAGTTTGAGACTTGCCAAAACCTATCACAACTTCCACCAGAACACAAATTCAGGTGAGTAAAAGGTGTGGCATTACAACTTACAAACAGAACACACAAATGTAGAAAACAAATTTACAGTTTATTTAACACTAATGAATAAAGTTATATAAATTACAAATTAAAATGGAACAATGTAAAAAAAATAATTTATAACTTATGCAACACTAAAAATACTATTATATAATTACAAGTTAGAAACATAACTGAATGTAAAAAGAAACAGTAAATGCTTTATTTAATGCTGAAGTAGCTGAGAGTTGGCTGTGGGTGCTGTAAACTTGTTGCCTTTTCTCTATTGGCAAGTCAAAATTGGGGACAGTGACAGATAGCCTTATTAGCTGTGCCATAAACACACACACACACACACACACACAATATAACACCATTATGGCTGAAAAGGGAAGCACGTTTGGTGGCAATGGGTATTAGTAGAACAAAAAAATTCCATTCATAGGCTTAAAAGGTTTTAGGCATATAATAATAATAAAACAATGGTAGAAGTTTTTTGTTGATTTTATACAAACTTTAGCCTCAAAATATTTATTTATAAGCAAC